GTCGTAACTGTAACTACCACCACGGCTTCCATCCCACAACTGTGTGTAAGATTCCCAGCGGCTGCAGCCTGAAAATCTTCAACAACCAGGAGTTTGCTGAGCTGCTGGCTCAGTCTGTCAACCACGGCTTCGAGGCTGTTTATGAGCTCACCAAGATGTGTACCATCCGCATGAGCTTCGTAAAGGTAAAGGAATATTCTACAGTGGTACTTTTGAACTGTAAACTGTAAATGTTAAATGTTAAAATTGATCCTCCTATATTCAGTATGAATTGACTTGATTTGAGTTTTACAGTTGAGTCACTGTTTATACTCTGTGTAAATATTTCCATTGTTTTTGTTTTATAAGAAATCTTGGATTTTATAAATATTTATTTTAGTGAAAATTGGATTTGAAAAGGCACCAACACAAAAATTTGAATGGTAAATAACATCTGCAGTGCAGGCACTTTGTAGTTACAGTGCTATTTTTCGGTGCACAGTAAAATGAGAAGTTGATATTTGCTTTTTCCTCACTTTCTCTTCTCTCTATTAGTTCTGTACATTAACTGTGCTATTTTAAGTCGCTTTTCTCTGCCAAGTGCAACAAACAGTGCATTTAGGCAGCTAAAGCTTTGGATGCTTGGGGACATGAAGTCATAAAGTTATTTGAGTTGAAAAAACAGTCTTGACCTTTTTTAAAAAGTAGTTTTATCTACAGTAGAAATATATAAAAACAAAAATGAAACCATCAAATATCCTAATATTTTTCTGAATTGGGAATCAGAACTGCAGCGATTAGTTGATTAATCGATTAGTCAATTGATAAAAAAAACAAATTGGCAATTATTTTGATCATCTAATTGTCATTTTAGTATTTTTTTTTTTAAGCAAATAAGCCAAACATTTGCTAGTTTAATACTTCTTTAATATAAGAATTTGGTGCTTTTTTTATCATATATGATAATAAACTGAATTGTTTTGGATTTTTTGGACTCTTGGTCAAATAAAACACAGAATTTAAAGGCGTCACCTTGTTCTCTGGGACGTTAGGGCATGTCTCACTATTTACCGACATTTTACTCATTTTAGTTAATCAGTTAATCGTGAAAATAATTATCAGCTGGAGCCCTGTTGGGTACAAACATCAGTGTTAACATGAGATATCGTAATACTAACTAGAATATTAACATGGAGTCAGGCAGAACTCAACACTTACACTGGAAAGTCAAAATAAAATTTGAATGTGTCTTACTAAAATTTAAATTAAATTGGAACAAATACATAAAAAAACATAAACAATCTTGTGGCCTAATTCATAAGGATGTGTTTTCCTATGTTGCAGGGCTGGGGAGCAGAGTACCACCGCCAGGATGTGACCAGCACACCCTGCTGGATTGAAATTCACCTGCACGGTCCCCTGCAGTGGTTGGATAAGGTGCTAACCCAGATGGGCTCCCCTCACAACCCTATATCCTCCGTCTCCTAGGCTTCACTGTCCTCAGCCCTGTGGCTGTCCATACCCCAGCATTTTGGTCTAAGTAGCAAGAATAGGGTCACAGATTGGCTCGTGCTTCAGCCAGTCCGTCTTTTTCCCAATAACTGATGGACGTTTTGACTGAAACACAAGCTGATCTGGGACCAGTAGGGCTGGGCTGGTTGTTTAATGGGTCGGTTTGTTCTCTACTTGAAGGATGTCTGAATTGGGCACATTTACAGTCTGGGAGAGGAGTAAGCAAAGTGAGCGTGATGCAACTGGAAGATACTTGATCTTTGTGACCAACTGTAATAATTAGACCATCACACTCATCATGACGCAAGTATCCTCCCTGATCTTGCTCCAACAATGTCTCTTTTTCATTGTTCTATTATTCTGACTCATTACTAGTTTTCATCTAAATATTCCCTCTGAAATCAAAATATACGTGTGTAGTTACGATAATTATGGGACATTCCAGGTCACCAAAATTGCAGTCGGCTGCTGTCTACCGCCTGACTGCAACGAGGTTGGCATGAAATGTACTTATGACATGTAAAAAAGTTAGCAGGGACTTGGAGGGTGACCAGTGTGACTGAAAATGTTTAATCATCTCCAGGTTCTTAAAAAAAGTATGCCATTTCCTCAAAGTATTCTTTTTTAGGAGAATAAATTAAAGCAGTACAAAGTTGTTGAAAAATAAAAGTCCATATCACAGATCATGAAAATAATAAGAGGGCAAAATTAGGGGGAGTTTGAGAGTTTAGAGGGGTTTAGTGTGGGCATGGCACTAAAAGGGCATTTCAGACTATTCAGAAAAAAATGTTTAAATGTTGCTCATCTTGTGTTACACTCGTGTTTCAAATGAATTTTAAGAAAAAAAAGAATAGTGTTTAGATATATTCACTATTAGAATATGTGCTGTGCAGTCTGGTTTTTGCAAAGCATAGTTTGGTTAGTGTAGTGTTACACATTTAAGACTGGTAGCTGAATACCACATGACGCAGAGGCAAATGACAAGTGCAGTTTAGTTGCTGTGAACTCTGCAGCAAAATCAAATGTGTCAAATACAGAGTCACGTCGAGGACAAATATTTGAATGACTGTTCTTCATTCTCGTATTACATCAACTGAGCAAACCTTGTTAAATGACTTATGGGAAAATGTTGAGCATTCAAATTTTAATTGTTGACTGAGAAAAGGGTATCAGTTACTGGTGTCCCAGTATGATTTTTTTTTTTATAAAATGCAGATTTTGCCATTCAGTTCTTTCATGCTTTGAGCAATCCTCTTTGCTATTAAACTGTATTACTCTTTACATTCTTTTTGTATTTTTTGAACATGTTTTTTGTTTTGTCTGCACTTTCACACATTGCCTCTCTGTTTTTTTGTTTTTTTTCCTCCTTCTCTGTGTTTTTTTGCTCAGTAAAACTCCCAGAAAAGCAGTTTTATTCCATGAATATCAAGCCTCTACTGGAAGATTCAATAAATTTGTTTCATTACTTGCAACATATCTGTCTCTTTTTATGAATGCTGTGTCAGAGCTTGTGTTTGTGTGCCTCTCTGTTTAATTACAGGCCACCCATGCTAAGAAAATATGCATCATGGTATTGTCAGGGACTTTCGAAAACATCAACCACTCTGTGTGTGTGTGTGTGTGTGTGTGTGTGTGTGTGTGTGTGTGTGTGTGTGTATGGACATAGACCTTCAATTAGGGAGGCACAACAATTACAAGTGCATCTGAGAGCCAACTGCACTAATGTTAAGCATAATTGCATTTTCCAGTAAATTGCAGGAAAACGCATGAAATGATGTGTTCTCCTTTGTTTTATGAGGCACATTGTGACAGTGCTGGAACAGTTACAACAATCTTCCAGGAAGCTCCTGTGGAAATCACCGACCCAACTGTGTGTGTGTTTGTGTGTGCGTGCTGGAGTTCCATTTGACTGTACATGACGTGGGTGGTATGGTTGCACAGTGGTTAGTTCTGTTGCCTCCCAAGAGTTTGCATGTTTCTCCCAAATTCCACAGAGAGGCACGTCAGGTGGACTCGACACTCTGAATGTCTATGATTTAAAGTGTTGGTGAGTGTCTACACTTCACATTAACAGCCTTGATAATCTATCAAGGGTGTGTCTTCTTCTTTGAACTTTTATTTTCAGTATTACACATCTACTTATAATCAAATTTCCATTGCTTTTCCAGATAAAAACACACAGTGTACTTATTATTGTAATGTCTGCAATGTACTCTGAGAGTCCAAGAGCCCATCAAATAAAAGTTCTTCGTAATGATACCTGCTTTGTACAAAAGTGTTGTGCATTCACCTGAGAAAAAAATGTCCTGTTTTTCCAGATTAACAGGATTATTGTGTTAATTAAGCAATAATAACCTCTGTAATTAAGAAAAACAGCAGATTTTTATTTCTCAAGTGAATGCATTATGTTTCTGTAGCTATGGCTAGGACAGGCCTTCTCTTAAAATCTGTTTTGAATGACTTAAGTGCTTTTGTTTACCAATCAAATGGTGATAATTAACAGGGTTTGGTGAGATAAATTCAAGATGAACAAGGCTCAAAAGTTAAATAATGTTACATGAAACTGTCCAAGTTCTTTAAATGATCAAGCCTGGATTACAAACTGGGCAACTGCTCTGTGGTGCAAGACCCTTAAGGGGGCCCCAAAAACCCAAGAAGCAATATGTGTACAATACATAAATTAATTACACAGATATGTTTTACAGTAAAGTCCAAATAGAACATGCAAGGCTAATGGGTTTTTTAATGTAAAATATATGCTCTAAAAAGTTGTAGCTTTTAAGCATTTTCTGTATTTTCTTGTTTTATTCGTTTTGGGCATAGACATTCCAATTCTCACTACTTTTCTAAATGTTTGCCCAGTTTTTTGTCACTTACATAACAAGGAAAAGAGCTCAACATTTTTTATCCTTTATAATCAAACTATTTGGAGTACCCTCTGTCAGTCCTCTCTTAAAACTTTGCATGATTTAGTGTTTTTACCAAAGAGAGGATTAGGATAAACAAGTGTTAGTGATTAGGAATTCAAAAAGCAAGATAAATGCAACCTATTTTCTTTTATAATTTCTGTCAAGAGAAATTGTACAAAAAAATTTCTGCAGCCCATGGTGACTCAAAGTCCCTCTTTGTCGAAGGTGGTGCATAGTTATAAATGCATAAGTGCATTGGCAGTAATACCTACAAACAAGCTACAATTAACCATCTGGGAGTCATAACAACATATTGCTGCATGCTGTCAAGTTTGATGATTTTAGGGGAGAAGAACCAGCTGTGGGTTAAGATGTGAAAGTTAAAATCTGCTGCCACCTGCTGGCTAAAGTTAGCTACTGTCATCATCAGAGTTTAATTTTTATTTAACACTTTTCCTTAACGTTTAACATATTTTTAAAAAATATCGTTTTAGATAATTTTGTAGACGTATTTATTTGTAGAGTTTAAAGATAATTAATTTTAATGAATTTTATAAACAAATCGACGGAAGCCTTTGTCAGGGGCGGCGCCGTACGTCACCGGAAACAGGAAGAGGATGAATGAAGCAGCCGTTGATATGTAACCTGTGGCACCCGTAACACCTCCATGCAACTGGTACGAGGTCAGCGTGTATTCTTGTTTTAAACAATTTCTATGAAGTGTTTTATTATATTTGTGACAGTTGCTTTTACACTCACAGGACGGGCAAACGTAGCGTTAAAGTAACGTTAGCTTAACGTCCGGTGGAAGATAACCGTTAAAACAGCTGCTGTTAGGTTGCTGTGTGGAAGTTAGTTAGCCATGTCACAGCTAATAATACATGTTGGAATGTGAGATAACTACCGCAAAATTCATGGGACATGATATTTTAATTGTAAAACATTATAGCAAGAGTTAATTAGTTTTAAAAATCACCTCTGACTCATTGTTTTTCACTGTATTACTTCTCCTAGATGCCCCACATTTACCATAAAATGCGACGGCTTGGCTTCTCCCTCCTCCTCCGCCACATCTCCTCCCTCCCCTCCTCATCGACTGCCCCGTCAGTCACCAGGACATGCTGCCTCCACCAAAGGGTCACTGGTCCCCACAACTGTTATCAGAGCACCTTACCAGGTCACAGCTGCCAGCCGAGGAGGGGTGTGAGCACAGCCATCAAGCAGCACATCCAGGACCTGAGTGGGCCTGAGCAGAGACTGTTGGATAAACTGTATGAGGGGCTGATCGGAGGACAGCGGGCCTCTCTGGCTGAGTCCATCACTTTGGTGGAGACCCAGCACCCCAGGAAGAAAGAACTGGCCCAGGTGCTGCTGCAGAGGGTGCTGGCCTACAGGAGGGAGCAGGAGAGTCGAAATGGGGGGAAGCCGGTGGCCTTCAGAGTAGGTGTGTGGTTTGGGTTTGAGTGGCTAAAGGTGTTTGTATTCAGCTGGGCATGTAGACAACATGGGAGCTGCACTATACTGTACACACCCTGCCGACTGTAGTAAATACCTCTGTACAATCAAATGCAACAGATCTGCTAGAAATTCTATATTTAGAAAGATTGTACAGTTCAGTTTCTGTTGGCACTATCAGAAAGGTGTTAATCCAACTAGGCTATATGTTTAAAATTGTGGTTGCAGTATTTGGTGGTGCTGCATTGGACTGCATTGTCCTGAAATGTGTTTCTAATCTTCTGCCCCTGTCGTGTTTGTAAAATGGGGTTGGCTAAATATCAGAAACACCTTTCAGTAAAATGCAGTCCAGTTCAACATATACCTCTTTGAAAGATGTACCTAATTGAGTTGTGACTGAGTGTACATATATGGACCATGTCTCTTTCAAGTTACCAGCAAGTAAAGTAACACACACTATACAAAGCGAGGGGTGTCCAAACTTTTTTTTAATGGGGGCCAGCTTAGATAATGTGAAAATACCTGGGGGGGCTAACTGCTTCTCACATCATATGGGTAATGCGTCAATGAGCAAAATGCAACTGTTTCTTTTTTCACTGGAAAAATATTCAACTTTCCACCACTCCTGAAAGTGGCAGCCCTTGCTCTCAACTTCAAGCTTTTTTTGCTGTGGCCATGTCTGCGACCTTGCTGGAAATGTCTGCTGTTGTGTAACTATAAAGTGAACTTGCATGACTAGTAAATATTGCATGGTGGGCCAAATATAGTATATTTTGAACAACTAGCTGCAGGTCACGATTGCCCCCTTGACCAGACTTTGGACATACCTGCCTTAGGCTCACTGTGTGTTAGTTTGTGGTCATTTGCTTAAACACAACTTTAATTGGGAATTTACACCTGTGAGAACAATATAAACTATAAAATGATTAACTTCTTCAGAACAGGTTTTGACACAGGGCCCCTCTACAGGACAGGGCCACAGCAATGTAGGCTGGTGGGAGGTGGGAAGAGTTGCCGGCTGTGAATAATTTTGTCCTGACTGCAAATTCCCATTTCAAAGTTTTCTTATCAAAATACAGTGTTCCACATGTTCCTCAACACAGAAACTAAGGAATCACAGGGATAATTTAACAATACTATAGATCTGTTGTATGCCGTAAGTTAAATTATTTCAACCTCTGAAGCAAATTGAAAATGCTTTGCCATTACAGTTGGAAACAAAACAATGTGCCCTAGTTTCTTGACTAATACAGAAGAACTGATCTAAAATCCAATGATTTTTAAGGATTTTTCTACAAAGTGTGCAACAGACTTTAAACTTGTCGATTGAATATTCCACCAACCTTTGCAGGCATACTTTTTATGTACAGTACCAAGTAAATGGGAAAGTGAGTCCAAACTTTTGACTGATACTGGTGTTGTTGCTGTTTAAGTCATTCTCCTTGTCTGTGTTCAAAACATTACATGCAGTCAGTGAAAACAGTGCACCACACATGAATTTGACACATTATACCGATGACAGATAACAGTGATTTTTACAAGAGCTGCCACATCGGCTTAGTCACCAGTGTTAGTTGCAAATCTGTAGGGGTGAGATTTATGCTGCTTATCTTGTATTTAAGTCTGGTATAAAGTTATACAAAGTCAGAACAATGAGTTCATAGTGCCATTTGTCACTGAATCAATTACTTTGTTGCTTTCTCAGGTCTGTCGGGTCCTCCAGGAGCAGGAAAGTCATCCTTCATTGAGGTGGTGGGGAAGATGCTGACAGGACGTGGACATAAAGTTTCAGTGCTGGCTGTCGACCCGTCGTCCTGCACGACAGGAGGTAAATACAGATCATCGTAGGATACTGAGGAAAAGCTGTTATTGGGTGCTTTACAATGCACAAAAGATTTATGTGGGAAATTGTATTGTGATGTGTGTGTATTTTGTTGTATTTATTAGGCTACAGCTATAATTGTAGAATCAACAGCAGCACCGTTACACTATTAAATGTTAAATTTATGCTATAGACTGACTCATCCCTCTTATTGCAGGGTCTCTGATGGGTGATAAGACTCGTATGACTGAACTGTCCAGGGACATGAGTGCTTTTATCAGACCATCTCCGGCCTCAGGAACACTTGGTGGAGTCACCAGAACGACTAATGAGGCCATTGTTCTCTGCGAGGGGGCGGGATATGACATCGTCCTTGTAGAGACCGTAGGTAGGACACGGTGATTCCAGGTGTATCTCAAAATGAATTTCTCTATCTTCTCTTATCCACATAAGACACATTTCTTTGAAGCAATCATGGTTTCACCCTGTTAACTGATTTTTCCTGCTGTAATATTCACCTTCTTAAAAACCAAAAATTGAATATTTTCTTCATGTAAACTTTTTCTTCCTTATCCCTCCACACATTGTCTTAATGTTTATCAGTAGGTCAGCGTATTGATAAAACATTTCAGATTTCATTTGTCATTTTTATGCTCCACATAAAAACGAAATAGTGTTTCACACATGCCACCAATCGATAAATATGATCCTGTACAATATTTGAATTTATATATTGATACAGAATGTTTCAGTGCTAGTGTCAGATTGACACACTTACTTTTTTTGTGGTTAACAAAAAAAAGCCAAACCTCACATATTCAGAACTTTGTCAAATTAAAGTTTTGAAATCAGGAAAAATAAGAATTTGAGAGTATTAATCTCAGCAATGAGTCGCTGTAACCTTCAGTACTCTGTTTTTGATTCTTAGTGCTACAGACACAGTTTGGTCATTGTTACGTGTAGAGGTTTGATACCCGCTTCTGTTGCATCTTAGAGACTAGTATTTATTCTGTGTGATTAATGAAATTTGGTGAAAGCTCATGATTGTTCAAAAGTGTTATTGAACTTCTGAACAAGTCCTGTCCAAGACATTTTTTTTACACAGTGAATTGCTTTTATTTGTCTCTTGTTCAAACACAACACTGTAAATTCAAATGAACTTGTATTGTAACTGCAGGAGAGAGCATTAAATTCATCGGTCATTAATCTGTCGTTTTGGTTCCAGGCGTGGGCCAGTCAGAGTTTGCAGTGGCTGACATGGTTGACATGTTTGTGCTGCTGATTCCGCCAGCAGGGGGCGATGAACTCCAGGTCAGTGAAAAACATGCGCCACAAGAAAAAGCTCACCAGTGTCAGATGTTTCAAGCTGTTATGAGCAGGAAGGAAGACAATACAGTGGAAACTTTTTAAAGTGATCACATCTGTCTGGGTCAAATTAATCACTGTAAGTGGATGATTATTATGACCAAAAATCTTTTCTTTCTTTTTTTATGTAATTTTTTTCTTATTGCTGAGTACCATATTATTGAGATCTGTATATTTAATACATTAATATAAGGTATTGAATGTACATCTTCTTCATCTATTGAGTTTTATTGACTGTTTCAAAATACAGTACAGCTGCCTCATTACTGGGGCATTGTATGACGGGGCATTGTCAGTCCACATGACGAGGGCGGCTTTAACCACAGGTGCTTTCCTTGCGCACATTTGTTTTCTGTCTCCATCACTAGCAGCTATAAGCTTCAAGGATGCTGTTTTTCAATGAGAAGGAATGACTTTCTTTTTCCCATTATGATTTCAACGTGCACACAGCACCAGCCTCAGGTAGCCAGCTGGAAGCAGACGGGTTACTGCGAGGCAAAGTATAATGAGAGCACAGTTAGAAAAAAAATAGAATTACCATAGTTTTAAATTGTTTTTCCAATGTCGTTGTGTATGCAAAGACCCAAAATAAACACTGTAAGCAGACTACTTGATTACTGTAAGCAAATTATTTCAGCAACATCTGTAGAGGAATGTTTCTGTGTCAAGCTTTTTGATCCATACAAGCAGTGGATCACTGTAATCATGATAGCTATTGGGTGTTTCCACTGTGTGAGATGTGCCAGGTTGACGAACGCTTGCATCTAATGTGGCAGGTTATGACGTTGGTTCTCATAACCTTTAACCAGTTAACCAAACATTAGTCATTACTGCTTTACTGCTGTTGTTTTTACACAAACTTGTTTACTTTTTCCACCCACAACTTTTGAGTTAAAAGTCTTAGTTTATAGTTTTTATGGCGAATGACAACATGACAGCGCCCCAAAGTGAAGCCAAAACATCTTGATCACCCTCTGGTGGCTGGCTGCAGTGTAGATCCTAAATTCCGCCCCTTCCATAGCAGCAGTTGGGACTGTTGCCAAACTAAAAAGTCAAAGTACACTTCAAATGAACTTTTTCCAAAGATGGGTTCTGCCATTTTAGGTGGCTCTTTTAACACTGATGTTTGTTCAAGTGTTCATTTTTCTGATAACTTTGGTTTTAATTAGTTATTCGATGTTATAAAAGGGAAGGGGAGGGTTGACAGCTATGTGCCAATCTGTGTGCTCAAGACCAGTGGCACTGCTCATGATTGGCTGAACAGATATGCAGACTCCAGCTCCAAATGTTTTATTTTCTGAGGTGTGTTGAGAGAGCGTCAGCCTCATTATTCAACACGAACACAGAAAACAGATGATATAATTCTAACGTTTTGAATCATAACTTGCATAAGTGCACTTACAGATTTACATTATCAAGGAGAAACTCACTTCTGTGTCCACATTTGTATGTAAAGATGAGTGTGTTGAGGAACATTTTATGCTAATTATTTTATTTATTAGCTAGATTAATGACTTACATAGCCAGGCTCATTTGCATTAAAATTATGGTGATTGTTGTGGAACAGCTCGAGTGGCATTTATATTAATTAATGTAATTATATCTAAAATGAAACACATTGTCATAGAAACATGGAAATTAATCAAACTAAAATATAAACAGTAAACATATGTTATTCATCTTGAAAGTAGAGTAATCCCAACAGTACAGTTGAACTTGTTTAAACTATAAATTGCAGGAGTTCCGCAAAACTATGTGATATATACACATTCAATTTTTATTGTTATATGACATATTACATCACTCAAGTAGAGCTAAATAATTTAATTGTCACATCTTAATCAGTTAAAGCCAGCTGCAGTTACTTTGTACATCTACTGTGACCCCGAGTCACCTGCTGTATACAAAGACCCGAATTTCAACAGGTGAATGTTACTTTTAAGAATAACCCTTACAAATGATCACAAGTGCTTCCCTTGCTTTGGCTGACAGCAGTGAGGGATGGATAGAAAGCAACAATATCAGAATAACAAATAAGTAAAGTGGCAGCTGACCGCGGCTCTATCCATCCATCACTCTGTACGCAGATCCCTCAGCAGATTAGGTGTCTAGACATCAGATTTATTTACAGTGTTTTGAGAAGTTAATGACCCTCCTCGTTTAATGCCAAAATCTCTGTCCAGGGTATCAAGAGGGGCATCATCGAGAGGGCCGACTTGGTGGTGGTGACGAAGTCGGATGGAGACCTGGTGGTGCCAGCCAGGAGGATCCAGACTGAGTACACCAGCGCACTCAAGCTGCTCAGGAGACAGTCCAAGTCCTGGAACCCTAAGGTGTGTGTGTGTGTGTGGGCAGTGTAATGAGGGAGGGAGCCAACAACACAATGATTAGGCATTGACAAAAAAAACACAAAAAGGATAATTGACAAGTGTTCAACATTTGACCTACTGGGCAGCCACTGCAGAAGTATCACTGCTCTGTGGACCCAACAAGCCGTCCCACTGAGGGGTCAGCTGACCCAGGAAGAGGAGGGAGGATTATGATGATGATGATGATGATGATGATGGTGGTGGTGATGATGATGATGTCATGACATCATGGTTTCAGTGCTGCAGTGTCTCACCCCTCCCCGCATGTCCCAGCTCACCCGCCTGCCTGGCCTTGTCCCTTTGTTTTCCCAGCCCAATGCAGCATCTGCCCACTGGGCAGGCTGCCAGGAAACACCCCCACCTCCCACCCCTCTCCTCACCCCCACCCCCACCCCCACCCCCTACTCCTGCTGCTCTGAATACTCGGCTGCTGTGTCATGCATTTCGCTGATTAGAAGCCTGCGCGCTTGACATAAAAGCTGATAGTCTGCTCTTCGTAGTCTTCTGTCTGTATTTATCTTTACTTTTGCCGTCTTGCCTTCTTTGTGTCTGTCTGCTGGGCCGACAGTCGCACCATCCATGATTCAGCTTTCACTGTCTCATCTTCATCAGTCTGCCTTGTATTGCTCCTCTTGCATGAATGGCATGCCATGACTTTGATTTATGGGTTCTTGATCATATGTGTTAAAAGCTTTTAGGCTTAATCATATACTGCTTTTACTAACAACTGGGGCTGTAACTAACAATCTTTTCTCAACTGATGAATTGTGTGTTATATGAAATACCACAGGGTGTCTACAGGTTCTTAAAAAGTCTTTTAAAAAAGTCTTAAATTCAGTGTTACAACAATAAGGCCTTAAAAGTCATTAAATAGTTTTAAATGAATTTGTGAGGTCTTAAGTACGACAAACATTTTATCTAATTTGATTTATCCATTTTTAATTTCTTTTTTTGAAAATAGCTGAAGCCTCTCTATGTAAAAGTCCACAATTCTAATGTTACAAATCTTAAAAAAAAAAAACTACTAATACTGACATTTTACTTCATATTTGTACTTACCTGTTGGCAAAATGTAGATTGAGTTAACTCACTCTTATAATCATATTCCTACTTAACACCTACTTCTGCACAAGACCACATGTACACCACTTGCCTGCAATGCTTAGCTACGATGCTTAAATAAGGAAAACATGATTTGTCCAAAAAAAAAATAAAGTCAGAAATTCGGTTTATAGGTGTCTGGAATGGGTCTTAAAAAGCATTAAATATAACTCTCTGATACCTGTAGATACCCTGTATTAGAAAAATGTTAAAATAAGTACAATAAAACAACATAAAACCCAAAAGTTTCAATAGCCCAGGGATCCATCTTCAAATGCCTTGTTGTCCGACCGACAGTCAAATATCTAAAAAACAAATGACAACGATATAAAACATGAAAAGCAAAAAATCCTCAAGTTGAAGAATCACAGAATATTTTGATTTTTTTGCTTAAAAGTAGACATAAAAGATGAATTAATCACAAAGTAGTTCAGTCAGCTCTGCAAACAATAGGACAAACTCAACAAATTGGAAGTGTAAATTTCCAATCACCTCTCAGTAGCAGTCTCTTTTAATGTCTTGGTTTTAAAGGGTTACTCCACCAATATTACATGTTAAACACATTTATCATTTACTTTGTCAAGTCGGAGAATTTTACCGAGAACTCATCACTCGCCCTAATTTATTTTTTACTTATCTTTAAATATTAATTAAAGTCATGTATTAATTGTCTTGTAACTAGGTGCTAGAGCACTTTGTAACCCTGGTTTTGCAAAGTGCTGTATAAATAAACTGTATGCTGCTGTATAAATCTGCTTACTTACTCTGGTTACATCTAATCTCAGTTTGAGTATGTAGATCATCGTATTTTGAACCAAGAGCCGTTGCAGTGTTCAAAAGGCATTAAATTAGGGGTTTAAGTGATTAAGTGATTTTAGAGCTTGATTTGTCTCATGCAGGTCCTTCAATGTTGAGGAAGTGCAATACTAAATTACTGTACTAGCCTTTATAGGGTCAGTTTACCAACTTTACAAAAAAATGTAGTTTCTCACTTAATCCTCCAAACAGTTCCCATAAAAGGTACATTATCAGGAGAAAATAGTTCGAGTGAAAACTGTTCACAGTGAGGTTTATGGATTACCAAGAGAAACAGTAACATTTGTTTCTTTTTATTAGGGTTGTCAATGTTAAACAGATGGTGACAGAAGTATAAAAGTAAAAATAGAATTTCTTATACAAAAATATAGAAAATATTTAACAAGTCAAAAAAAGAAAGCAAGAAAACTAAAATAAAAAAAGCAAACACAACTTCATTCACTTCCATTGTACTGGGGGGAAGCAGAAATTTCAGAGACAGATATGGTATGTTAAATGTTAAATGTTGGACAAATAAAACCAAACCTGGTAAACATCAGTCGGGGACCTTTAAATAAGATAATTAGCGAGCCTGACGTACGTTTAGTCTCTCAAAGTTTGATTTCCTGTTTTTGCATCCGACTCAATCAAGTCCTTGTAAAATGATTAAGTTAATGATGTAATTAGAAGATTCATAATTGGCCGTTGATCACAGGCCTCTAATATTTATCAGGCTGTCACATTCAACTTTGTCGATTACCAGCTGATGTCAAATTATCTCCAAATGATACATGTAATTTCATTACACTTTAGCCGTCTGGAGATCTGTGGGGTTTGTTTGACATCAGCTCTGAGGTCTTCTCTCCTCCTATAAACCACCTTTTCCCTTTTTCATTCACACAGGTGTGTAATGATGTGATAAAACACAGAAGGTTATTCTTTTGTATAAGCACCTCTATGGGCACACGCCCTTTCTGTGTCTGTGTTGAATATGGACGTTACCCTGAATTTCATCATGTGCTCTTGAATCTGCAGCAAGCTCTGAAAAGAGACATGCAGTCATTTGAACTAAACACATAAGTGACATTTATCTTTGGGTCGTCGTGTGAACAAGGTGTTAAGAGGAGACAAATACTGGCGCTGTGTGTAAAGTGGCAGATATGACGGCTTCTTACAGATTAGAGGAGCATCGCGAAAATATATTTTACTTATAATAGGAAAAAAGCAGCAACTTCACAACCTAATCTGCAGTTAACTATATGCAAAAAGCCTTTTTATTACCAAAAATTAATGCACCTTTAAATAATGACTTTGTAAAAAGAAACCAACACTGTTTTGCTTTGCAGTGGAGAAAGAACAGCATTTCTGTCAATAGTTGCTTTGACATATCCAGGACTGCTTTTTATTGTATACTTGTTTATAAACAATGCACATTAATCAACACTGACATTTTGAAAATAAAAATTTAAATGTATCGGCTGCACTCATAGGCCCAACATAAATAAAAACTGACAAACAAAACAAAAACATTATACAAAGTGAAGTCACAGTTAGAAATAAAATGAGATTAATCATAACACGTTTTCCTAACCTAACCTATCTTAAACAAACATTAAATTGTAGACTGTAAAAATTTAGAGTTGAATTAAAACTGACCGAAAAAAAAACACTATACATTATAAAGTCACAATCAGAAATAAAAGGAGATTCGTCGCACCATCTCGTCCTAACACTGTTAAACAAACTTTACCATCAAAATTAACAACAAGTCAAAATTAAATGTTAAAGATTTTTAGGCATTTTTGCCTTTTATTGGTCAAATTGCAGTTACAGTAGACAGGAAACAAGGGCAGAAAGGAGAGGATATGAGGAGAGGATATGACATGCAACCAGGGTTCTCATCTGTAATCAAACTAGGGACTTCATAGTTATATTTCATGTCTCAACCATTTGGCTATTTGGACAATTTTAACCATAGTTTAAGTTTGATTTGACAAAATACCATTTACTTTCTTTTTCCATTAGATCACCATCAGCACCAGCATTAGCACTGGCTATTCTTCCCTACAATCATACACACTTAAACACACAACAGCCACATTAACGCAACAAAAATAGCAAATTTTTAACATTTTAACACAAAATTTTAAATCAATCACAATATCTTAAGAATTCATTGCAAATTTGATTTTTCTTTCTCATCCAAAAAATGTATTTATTTATAAATAATGACCTTATTCATTATTGGTCATGTTGGTGAAGTATTCCTTTAATTCCAAGAATAAATGTGTACTGTGCATTAACAGACTATTCCAGAGGTTTTCTGCACTCACAAAAAGGGCTGATTGTCCAGTTGTGCAACATCTGAGTGAGACAATACAGTTGCCTCTGGCAGCGGCCTTTGTTTTCCTGGAGATAATGTCCATGAGTTTGACAAAGTGGATCAAAGTTGGACATGCTGTTTTGTACAGAGTGATAAACATGAGCCAGAAGTCCATGTAATGTTTCAAACTTTCATACTAAGTTAAGTATGGAGGGCAGTTTGCTGTGCCTTGACATCCACAGGCTGAATGGTCAGATTTAAATTCACACATGCACCCAACTCCTTCTTCAGGTGGTGCGCGCCTCCTCACACACCAATGAGGGCATCCCAGAGGTCTGGGCCAAGATGGAGTCATACCGGGACACCATGTTAGCCAGCGGTGAGCTGCAGGGCCGGCGACGGGCTCAGCAGAAGGTTTGGATGTGGAGTTTGATCCAGGAGAACGTCCTCGCCCATTTCCAGAATCACCCCAGTGTCAGAGAGGCTCTACCCCATCTTGAAGAGAGGGTCACCACAGGAGCCACCTCTCCAGGCCTGGCCGCTGACCTGCTCCTCAAAGCCTTCTCATCATCATCATCATCATCACCATAGTAATCAGCGGGACTGCACTTTTGGAGAAGTATGACTGATCAGGGCCACTCAGTGCCAAGGAGAGCCAGGACAGAGTGAGAATATGTGACCTTGACTCTGTGGTTTTGCACAAAAAGAAGCAGTCTTGCTCTTTTTATACTTAATTTGAAATTTAAAATACCTAAAGATAGACGTCACCCCTCCACTGAAACTTCCAGTTTCTGCATGCTTTAATCCAAATCAGGAGTGGGAAGAGAGTGCTGACAGTTGTCACTTCTCACCTTCAGCTTCGGGACACATCCACATTTGGACAGTGGACGGTAGAATGAAACATTTAAATTGCTGTGAGATATGAAATGTTGTGCTGCCAGCAGCCTGGTTTTCTAAAGCAGATACTGGGATTGTCTTCCTGGACAAAGACTCAGCAGAGGACTGTAAAACTGTTGTTACAGCTGGAGAATAGTTTGCACAATACCCATCACTTTCACAAAAAGGGTTATTAAATGGCGAAGCTGGGACTTGTTGGTCTTGCCATAAATACTGACATGACGTACTGTAGTGGAAGTATGAAGCTATTTATGCTTACACTGCCCACCCTGATCATACAGTGATCCATAATACACACTATTTATAACTCAGAAAGCAAACAGTTAACGAAAGGATCAGGTTCAGAGAAATGGGATTTGTAATGGCCAGTTGTTTCTCTTGTTGAACGCTATGGACACAAATCTCCCTTTGAAACCACTGGACTTACAAAATGTTTCTTACTCACTATTTGTGCTTCTGAGTTGAATAAGAATGATGTGAATCTTACTTGGCTAAGTGAATAACATTAAATCTGTCAGTACAGTTGGCCAGGCTTTTCCCTCTCCTTGTGTTTGCTCATGATATGAAAAAAGGGGGAGTGATTAATGTTACCTCCACGAATATTAGTCCTGAGATTTGTCAAAGATGTAATGAAATATTTTTTTCCTGCACTCTGGAGCCAGAAATGTCAGCAGTAGATATCCCCTGAATGAGTCAGCTGCTTCTAATTCAGGCAAAACACACTTTAATATTTTCAGAATTACTTTCATAATGCACTGCACTCCTGGACGCCACCAGAGAATTAAAGACAAAGAGAAGTCACACACTCATAACTCCAGTGCAGCTACTTTATTAATTTAAACAGACATGCTGCTTTATTCAGGGTAAAGCAGTAGACTCCCGGTGTCACTGGTATATGCTTCTGTTATCTCTATAAAGGGCATTTTCAAATCACTGTGATAATATCCTGCTTAGAATATCAGTGCAAATGAGGGCTGCAACTAAATCTTATTTTTACTATCTATTAATCTGTCAATTATTATGTTTTAATTAATCTATTAATCATTTAGTCCACGGATACTCAACCTGCTTTGCCCGAGGACCACTTTTGAAAATGACAGGAGGCCAGTTAATGAACAAAAATAATATTTATCAGTGAATCTATTAAAGGAATCGCCTTTTCACCCATCTTGGCCAAGAGACAAAGTCAGCTGCAGCACCCCCGCACAGGTCAGGTGTACGTGTTTCCAGGATTTGAGGACATTTGGGGGCTTAGCCCGGACCTCTCTCTGGGGGTCCCGGGATCTTCCCCTTGCACTTTTTTGTAAATATGATAGGGCTGTCAAAATAATGTGTTAATTTCGGTTAATTAATCACAAAGAAAACAGCGCCTTAAAAAAATGTATGCTGATTAATAGCGTTCTGTAGTGCCCTTTGACCCAGGGCGTCATTGAAGGCCACAGTGGCATTGTCATATGATGGAGGCAGACAACATTACTTTGCTTCGTTGGCTCCATAAATTGAACGTTTATATTTAAAAAACATCCAGATGGAACTGTTGATAGGAGCACTGTTCTGCAGTAAGGAATCTTCGTACCATCAGAGCACTTCAAGCCTGAAATATCACCTCAACACAAAGCATTTAGCAGCAAACCCGGAGGTCCGAGCTAGCACAGCCTCTGATGCTCACACTAGCAGCCAGCCTCATCAAGCCACACTCGACTAGGCGTCAGATACAAACTGAGTAATTCTACCTCTGACTGACCCTTTCAAAACTGACTACAGTGGACTGCAGACCAGTTTTGGTGATAGTGGACAGGCGGACAATTGTATCCAAAATCCAGCAGCTTTACTACGACACATCTGCCAAAATTCATTTGAAATGATTTTTTAAAAATACTGTCGCAGCAACATTTGATGGATCCAATTAATTTAGATTAATTAATCACGGAGCATTTAATTAATTTGTTTAATCACTCTACAGTCCTAATATATAAACAAGCTATTTTTTATGTTTCTAATGCACTCTGGCAACATATTTACATTCAAAGAACAAATAAATCCCAGCAGGAATCAACCTATTTTCATTAAGAAATAGACAATGGTCATCGGGCCACCCAGAACCCTAACGTGGGCCAGATTTGGCCCTTGGACTGTATGTTCAGAATCACTGATTTAGTCTGTAAAATGCTTGGAGAAATGTGAAAAATACATCTCACAATTCCTGGAGCCAAAGATGGCTACAAATTGCTCAATATTTGTCCAACTTAATCAGTCCAGAAACCAAAAATATTCATATTATAATGATATAAAACAGAAAAAAGCAGAAGATCCTCATGTGAGGACCCAAGATTGGCAATTTTTGCATGACAAATGACTTGTATGATAAATGGTTTATCAAAATTATGATGAATGATTCATTTTGTGAAGATGAAATAATTGCTTCCAGCTCTAGTGTGGACACAAATGTTAGCATTTTTTAGATTTTTTTCAGGAGTTATGAGTGCAACTTCTCTTTTTATGTGTTTTGGTGTTCTTCCATTAAGCCATTATATACAGAGAATGCACAAAATTACAGGAAGTACAACATAATGCAAGCAAGTACACTAGCCACAAAATATTACCTGTTGTAAAGCACATAATCAGGAAACTGTTAATAGTGACAGTGATAATGATAATAAAAATAACAATATATGTAGTAAATTTAAATATTACAATACAAATACTATACAATGAATGTACATTTAAACATTAAAATGCATCTTATAAGTTGAGTAAAAATGATGTAATTCAGTAAATATATATATGTAATAATTTCAGTCGGTTAAAAGCCAGTTTAAAACGATGCTCAGGTGTTTTTAGTTTCAGACACTGTTGGCCTAATAGTGCTCTTCTGTACATATGGGCTCAATATGTCCGAAATATAAACTTTCTGGCACGTCAGTCATATCCAGCTTTTTTCCTTCAACAGCTTAATAGTTCAGCGCTCGGAAAATGTGACATTTTAGGGCTGAGGAGAGAGATATTTTTCCGAAATGTGTTGGCACAGTAAAATTCAGTGAAGTGATCAAGTTGCCATATTGAACTTTTTGAACTTTCAGTACAGTGCTGCGAATCGGAGAGATCAATAGGATCTTCAACCTTATTTTAAAAGTACCTCGAAGCCAAGGAGGAATTATAAAGGTGGGGTGATTTGATTTTTGTATTCTGAACCAACTACAGATGATTTTGTACTTTTTAATTTAACACAGACTATAAAATCTTGATGATTGGATTTTATTTTCTACTTTATATAGTGTTCATGGTACTGTATCTCTACCCCCGTGGGTGTGAGTTTCTACTTTCTTCAGCCACTAGAGGTCTCCCAAATTCCACTCAGCTCTGGATTCATTATCCTAATGACTGGGCCCTGAGTGCCAACCACCCTCCTCTCCATAATGCCCCCGCCTCCTGCCCTCCATCCATTCTTCATTGAGGTTGCCTAGGGTGCCAGGTCACTCAGAGGTGAGGACATCAGCAGCTGCCACTCTCCTGGAGCACAAGCTGTACTGTAGTCCTCACCCTCGGTGCCAAACCCTCCTCGGCTACTCTCAATCCTCGCTGAAAAGAAAAAGGGAGTGATGCTTGGTACAGTACAGAAGAGGAGGGCTGAGCGTGTTACTGTACAGCTTTCAACCTCACCCCTCACTTTGAAAGTAGCCTATATTTCAGGCCAAAAAGAAGTGAATTCAGTACTAATCCATGCTTGTCCTTGCTGGTTTGCTTTGGAAATACTGAGCCTGAGCCCCCCAACCGCTGGACGCGCTCCCAGGTCGCTGCTCGTTTGCTCCCGCCTGCGTACGAGAGGAAGAATGCCCCTTGAATGCAGATGGATTCATTAGGTCTGAGTAACACCCTTCTCCTCCATCATGCTGACACAAACACATACACACTGTAACTGCTCTGGCTTTGCAAAAGGGAACAGTGAGTTCTGCAGCTCTGGACACACTCCACACACACACACACATGCATATACGTACACACACAGTCGTCTCCAGTGTAAACAACACCATGCGGTTTCACTAAGGAAGATTAACTCAAATGCTGCCGGATCGTGTTCGGCCATTTTAGCCTAAACACAGGACCCATCCACATGTGTTTAGCATTTTGCTGGATCTCTCGAATGTAAGCAGAGGACAGAGACTGGCTCTTTGATGAGGTTTTTTCATGTTTAATGGAGGGGCTTACATTGACAGCCTTTCTTTGTGTCAGCAGTCTGAAGTCAGAATGCTTTCCTGGCTCCGGACAAAACAAAACGGTGCCCTCATACTGTTGTAATTGCAGTCCCAAAACTCGGCTTTTCCCCCTCAAAACCTCAAAGTCTGGAACAAGCGCCGAACAATCGGTGCTGCTACAAATGTCAGTAAACAAAGCGAGCATATCGACATCTATGTTTTCCTTCTTGTTGGTTGTGTCAGCGTTACAGTTTGGTTGTTTTCGGGTCAGATCAGAGCGTGAGGGAAGCCTGACACTGAGGGAAATGTCAGACTGGCCCTCCTACCAGGCTGATTTGGGAGCTGTGTGTGTAGTGTGACAACCGGTCATGGGCTGCTGATCCACAAAGCCTCACCCCATCCCTGCTATGTTTGTTCTGCTCCTCACACACAAGCACATACCGCCGCACTCACCCACCCTCCCCTCTTTTTGAACACCCGTCCTGCTCACCTCCTACACATCTTGTACATACATACAAGCCATCCATCCCCTGTCACACACTCGCACACACATGCACCCACACACGCTGCCTGCCTTGTTGCTCACCCGGCCGCTCCGACTCGGCTGGCTGCACTGCTGTCTCTCTGTAGTGACAGATGAGTGTGTGAGAAGCATTTCCTCCAGGCTCAGGGCTCACTTTCAAGACGGCTGCAAAACGATACAAGGAGCCACACGCTAATGGGGTTGGAGAGCTGCAGCGAAGCCCTGAGTGTGTGTATGTGTGTGTGTGTGTGTGTGTGTGTGTGTGTGTGTGTGTGTGTGTGTGTGTGTGTGTGTGCTTGTAGATGTAACACCCCACTCATTATGCTGCTCTGATGGGTCACTGTGCAGCCTCTTTATAAGAAGACCCTTATGGCGACATGTCTTATTATATCAACTGCTGAGATGGATGTTAATACCAGGCTGTGCTGTGCATGCTGCGTGCTCTCTAGCCTGTAGAGTGATGAGACGTGGTTGGTATTCGAAGTGCGTCTCATTGCATGGGCTAATTCTATTTAACCTGGTGAAGTCTGCTAGATGGTTCGGTCAGAATGCCCCAGGGAGACCACTATGTACCTCTGCTTTATTACCCACCTGAGGAGGCTCGCTCTCCCACACATGCACACTCCACTGTTTGCTATGTGTAATTTACTGTGCAGCCTGTGGGCCAGGCCTTCATCTGCAGGAAGGCGCGAATAGAGCCTTGGCGCCAGTAATTGGACTTTAGAACTGATTGGGGAACTTGATTGACCCCCGGTAATGGATTTGAGTGAATAATTATTTGTAGTTATGGTTGGAAGATGATATCAGGGA